AGAATGAGAAAGCCAAGTTGAGAGAAGTCCAGCAAGACATCCAGGATCAAACAGCTTGGGGCTGGCAGGGACAGGCATGGTAATGGGCCCTGAGGGAACGCCCTAGCAATCTTATCTGGAAGGATTACAGGCTAGGAAGCCCTGTGGGAATCCCGTGAGGAAGTTCTGCTGTCACCTGGGGGCCCGATCAGTCCTGAGGGACCCCAAAGGACAGCAGCAAAAGCAGCAGCACTAGAGATGGCCTTAAACTTAGGAGCTACCCTTTCTGCCTCCTCCTACCCCCATCCTTCCTGCCCTCCATCTCTTCTTACTTCCTCTTCCTCATTCTCCCCATCTTTGTCTCTTTCAAATAGAAAATATATTTATCTGTTTTTCTGATTCATCTGATGCCCCTGTACTCGCCAAAACACAGGTTCTATTAGTACAATGGTTTTCAACCTTCCTAATGCCGCGACCCATTCATACAGTTCCTCATGTTGTGGTGACCCTCCAATCATAAACTTATTTTCGTTGCTACTCCTAACTGTAATTTGTTACTGTTACAAATCAGGTGACCCCTGTGAAAGCGTTGTTGGACCCCCAAAGGGGCTGCAGCCTACAGGTTGAGAACCGCTGCCTTAGTAGAAGAGAGGGAGTTTGCACTGGCTGTTACTGATGGCCTGGTGATCACTGCCCATCAGAGAAGGCCTGCCAGGCACCATGCCTGAAAAGAGCATATTTAAGGTGAGGGGAAAGAATCCCCAGGGAAGAGCTGCCCTGTTTACTTGCAAGTCACAGAGCCCATATTTGCCCTAGGGTAGACCACTGCAAATACAATATGTGGTTATTGATCTCTGAGTGAACATTTTAAGTGTCAAAAACCACCACTCAGCGTTTCACTCATTCCATAAATTGTTTCCAAGTACACAACTATATTTAACTTTCGTGGTCAAGCCCTGGACATGGAGTGGATGTGTGTAACTTTAGGCAAGAGATCAGCAGTCTACTGTAATAGTTAGAGTGGGTGATAGATGCATCACTAGGGTTTGTCCCATCCATTGCAAGAACTCACAATATCCCCCCACCCCCGCCCCCGCTCTAGCAGGGGAAGGGCTGTGTGAACAACCCCGGCTGCTCCCTACAGCTCCTCCCTCCTGTCATTGGCCAAAGCAGAGACACTACTTTCCACTCAAGAGATGCGTGGGCCCTGCCATCTGCACCCTGACTGGGAAGCGAGAGCTGGGTGGAGAGGAGGGACAAGTCACAACACTGGGGGAGGCTGCCATCCACCCTTGTTGATGCCACTGCCTTGGCAGCCCTTCCCCTCCCCCAAGACCTCTCACCATGACCATGAGTCAGGGGCCAGTGTAGTTTTAGTCCTTCTGACAATAGGACAGTCCATACCTCCCCGCCCACCCTCTTGATGCCTTTGGTCTGGGTTTATTGGCCCTGTGACCATAGCTACCGAGACTAGTGATCTGACCCCTCCTTGCTCCAGTTTTCTCCTCTGTAAAATGGCAACCAAAGGTGGGGTTGTTGTGATGATTAAAGCAACTACGGGCATACATGTAAAATGCGTAATAAGAACTTGGCACAGAGTCAGAGCGCCCCGTTAGCTGTGTGGTCGATCTGGGCCTTTGATAGGAGGTTGTGTTAGCCATTTGACTACTAGCCGAAAGGTTGGGGCTTTGGTCCCACTTGGAGACGCCTCAGGAAGACAAGACTGGCCGTCTGCTTCTGAGAGGTCAGGGGGCCTGGACTACCCTGGGGTCCGTAGTCCCTCTGCACCTGTGGGGTCGCTGTGAGTCAGAACTCACCTTCACAGCAGCTAACCATCCCCCCTTGGTTCCGTCCAGAGTGGAGGAGAATTCCGTTTGACCATGACGGGAGCACAGCTTTTAAGTGCTTCTCAGAATCACAAGGTGCTTGGAGGGGCTTGGTTTGCTTTCATCTCAGCCTCACCCCATTTGTCTTTTTCCCCCCATGCCTTCACCCTGGAGAGGGGCGCATGCGGAGTTGAGCATTTCGCATCCCCGGTAACGGTGGATAATATTACAAAGTAGGCACGTTGTTCCTGTTTTGACTCAGAATCACCACAGGAGGCGGCTAAATAAAACTAGAACGACCAGAAAGTCCCTTTCAAATCAGTGATTAGAGTAATCACAG